TGAGCCCAGCCGGGGTAACTTAGCCAGACTCTATGCCAAGATAAAAATAACCCAAACGGGGCTGCATATGTAGCTTAGTATGAAGGCCCTGGGTTCAAACCCAGCACCACAAAGCACAAAAACAAAATGCAGCGATCCCAGGAGTCTAGTTACTCAGATAGCTACTGGGGAAAGCCTAGCTGAAACTTTATGACTCCAGACCAAAGAATCATGACCATTATGACTAAGGCAGGCCTTCGCTTCCCAAGAGTAGTAATGCCCGGAGCAGCAGCAGCAGCTACCTCGGTTGTTCCTGTGTGTGAGCATGCGCTCACGTGTGTGTGAGCAAACGTTACAAATGAAAGGCACACTGCCTTTGAAACGAAGTATAAGAAGTAAAGCCATGGTGTGATGTTGAGCTGTGGGGGACTCAGGTCACCAATTTCTGACACTGCCAGTCAAGCAGAAGACCCAATACTATTATGGACTACTGGACTCTTTTAGAATATTTTGCTGAGTTCACACACCTATACTATTCAAATGATAGAACTTCACAAAAAGAGGATTCAGATGAATGTCCATTTTGTATCTGTGTATTCAAAATGGTTAGGATAGATATATAGTTGCATTCTCTTAATGAATAGAGGGATTTGCTCTAATGGTGTTTGTAAATAGGATATCATGTCCGCATCTTGTACAGCAATTAACCACTAGGAAGAATGTATGCAATGTGTTAATTATTGAAACTGTCCTACCAATTTGGTTTGAAACTGTCTCATTGCTATTTGTCTCTCAATAAAATTATGGGGGGAAAAAAGAAAAGTAGAGTCAAGTGGGCAGCAGTAATTAGTCATTTAGGAAACATGCAGATGAGGGGCAGGGAGATGGCTCAGGGGCATAAGCGCCTGCCTGGCAAGCGCAAGGTCCCGAGTTTGATCCTCAGTACTGCAAAACAAAGAAAAACAAAAAATCTTGAAGATAAGAAGGGCACAAGGGACAGAGAAGGAAAGATCAAGAAAAAAATGGAAACAAACCTTTTGTAAATAAGAAGAGAGGTTGAAGGGAAAGGAGGAGAATGGGGCGAGCAAGGTGTATCATGTACAGATTCAACTTCCCACAGTAAAGTATATATATTGTACCAATAAAATAAATAAACTTTACAAAATAGAAATATGAAGCACTGTGTACCATGAGGATGTATAGGTAGGAGAGGGGATTTGGCCTTTGCCCTTGTGTAGCTTCAATTCTAACAAAATTCACCAACCACCACCACTGCAAACTAATCCCAGAAAGGAAAAGATGCAGGCTCCAAGGGCATGCGGCGTCTGGTGCACCTCCAGCCACCCCACCAGCGCACGACCCTGTACGAGCGCGGCCTGCACAGCTGCCCGTACCAGGGAACCGTCTAGGGAACAGTGGATGTCCGCATATGGCCACGCTGCAACGCCCTCTATTTGACGTCAGCACAGAAGGGGTTTAGATCTGAGCCAAAGGCCAACCTCACGTGCCCACCACCACGCTGAGCCTCACGTCTGACAGTCTCACCCACAGGGTGCGACCGGAGGCGGCTGAGGATCAGCGTTGCGCTCTGTGGGCTAAGCGAGAACCCTGAGCACGGGCTTCCAGGATGGCACAGAGCAGCTGGCGAGTAAGCAGGGCAGGCGGAAGAGCAGGACTTTGAGGACTGCCCCGAGGTGCCCACGAGACGTGGCGTGGCTGCAGCAAAAGTTGGGTGGTCCCAGGGCTTCTCAGCAAGCACAAGACAAGCCACTCAGCCCCAGTTGCCCCCCAGAAGACAAGGTGCTGCTGTGCAGATCTGTTCCTCAAGCCAAGGGCACCAGCTCCTGGTCAGGAGTGGCGAGGGGATGGCCTGTGCGCTGTGTGGCTGCTCCAACAGTGGCGACCGCGGGCTGCTGGGGGAAGTAGCCTCAGTGCCAGCACAGCTCTATGATGCCGAGTGTCTTCCTTCGGGTGAGACTCATTCTTGTCAAAAGGAAATGGAGACTCAAACCCTCATAGCAGGGCTCCTCGGAGGACTAATTAGCACCCCGGAGGGGCCCAGTGAGGAGACACTAACGTTGTTATCACTAAGGATGCCATAAATTACTTCCTGGACAGCACTGAAGCCAGAAGCTAGAAGACTCTGAAGCAGACGCTAAGGGCATCTTGGGCATCTCCATGCATGGTGAGAGAAGACGCTGTTTCTTCCCACTGTCTTCTTGCAAATTAGAAAGTGGATCAGAGCCAGCCCCAAGGTCACAGAGCTCAGCCACCACCAAGACCCAGTGGCTCAGTGTCACTCAGTACCAGGCCTCCTCTTTCCCCCAAATAGCTGCTGCTTATGGCTCTGAAAATTAACTGCTTAATTCTGACTCCTGGTCCTTCCTATCACTTGGGCGTGGGGTTTCCCTTTCTGTGGAAATCTGGCTTTGCTTCAGCTTGCTTCCTGCTTGGCACCCAGCATAGTCATCCACATCGCTTCCGCTGGCTTGCATTAGTGACAATATCAGTCAGCACTTGACTCCTCTGGGGCCCGGTTTTCAGAAGAGTGAGTGAAGGGGCCTCCCTCAACCTGCTGAGCACTCCTTTCCAGGAAGGTCCTGGGAGAACACGACGCGCTGAAATCTCTCCCTCATGAGCTCTCTCCCGGTGGCCTCGGCAAGCTCTCCACCTTTAAGACCCAACATTTGTGAGGGCCCATTACTCTGCCCTCCGGGACTCGGCAGTGTGATACCCCTACTTGCAGCCAAGCCCCCCAAACTGGTTGTTCACCCACATAACCAAGAAGCCATGCAGCAGTCAAGCGAGGGCCGTATTCGAATCACCACGCCTCAACTCATTCGGCAGGTGCTGCATGAGCGCTAACTTGGAGCTGACGAGGTGTCCGGGGCTATCTGAGAAGGCTGATATGAAAGCACTGGCAAAAGAGTTAGTCACGGAGAAATTTCACATAGGTGAGAAAATCAGGGCGATTCTCTGGATGCCTTTGTGCACACCAAGTCCCCCAAGCCTGGAAACACTTCTGATTGCGTATTCATCTTATAAAACAATCACGGAGCTAGACGTGTTTCTTTACAATTGTTCACATGGTGGGAGGCTAGAGCTTGACAAGAGGGCGGGCACGCTCAGCGCAGGGCCCTATCTGGCCCCAGGGCCACCCGCAGAAGATAACTTAGAGCTCCTTTCCCACCACTCTCATGGAAGTGACTCTATTGTGTCAGAAGAAACGTTTTAAAAAACCCTACACACACTCCCCCCTTACAGCAACGCTTTGGAAAGAAAGTGGAGTACACACAGGGGAATTTGTCCCTACATATAAGACGTTCCTGGACTGTCAGCTTCTGTTTTCAGAGGGTTGTGAATTGAAAGAGGAAAATTCTGAAAAGTGCTGTTTCTGAATTTCAGTGGACATAATCTTACCGTTTTCCACTGGAATCTGCTTGTAAATTGACTTCGTGATCGTCTGTTCCGTGTGAAGCTCTCAGTGACTCCCAGACACTGTACGTGCGGTTGTGAGGAATTTACAAGTAATGGAAAGAAGTCGTATCAGAAGAAATGCAGCCTAATAAATTATTTTCAAGGTACAAGACCTAAAAGTGTAGCATCCTACCTAAACAATTTAGCCAGATCCTGTCTCAGAAGGCTTTCTGAGTTCAGTGCCTAGTGGTGGGGGGAAACACGCCTGCAGCTCCATTCTGGACCAGTTTCTGCAGATGGCCGCAAAGGTGCAGTCCTGGCACCCCTTGTCTTTCCAGTGTCTCCTGTCTGGAATTCCCGTCGTGAGGTGGCAGTGGGGGTGGGGGCACTGACTAACTTGGGCTAACAGCTTCCTTAAAACCTTTCAGTCTTACCGAGTTATTTCCCCCTCGGCCAAAAGAAAGACCCGTATTAATGTTTCCAGACTAACTGGCCTTCCTAGCGGATGCTGTCCGGCACATGGTGCTGGCAATCTGAGGCATATTCAGTCCAAAGCAGAGGCTAACAGGCAGTAGAGATCTGATTCTAGGAAACTTGGGCAACTACTTTCCGGCCACATCTTTCATCGAAATGAAATAGGTTCTCCAGATTAGCGTTCCTCTCTTCCCTAGGCCCGCAGACCGAGGAGGTGCGGGGGAGGGAGGGGCGTACTGCGAGGATCCCCGTGGCCACAGCTGGCGGAAATGGCTTCGGAACCCTCAGGCTGGGGCGCCCCTGGGGACTTGCAGCCCGGAGCCGGGCGCTCGCGTCTCCTCCCTCCCTGCCCTGCCCCCCCTCGGGGTGGGGTTCCGGGGAGCAGCAGTCCCCGCCCGCTGTAGCTGCCCAAGCTGATTCTTAACCTTTTTTGGGCCGGGGACATCGGGAAACCTATGGGCCCTTTCAGGATGGGACGGAAGTTTGGGGGAAAGCACCACTGCAGAATGTTGCCAAACTTTCAGGGGACCACGAATTTGGAAACCGATTAGGATCCCTGACTTGAGCGAGTAAATGAGGCGTGGGGCTCAGGTGCCAAATGGGGTCCAGAGCGAGCAGGCGCGGCGCAGGGCAGGACAGGACCCGGCCTCCGCTCCTAGGGAGGCGCACAGGAGCGCAGGCGGGGAGGGGGCCAAGGAAAGGGGAGGGAAGGACCGGGAGGAAATGGGAAACGGAGAGGGCACGGTGGGAGGGGACGGGACTGGCAGAGACAGGGTGCCGCGGGAGCCGAGCGGGAGGAGGGCGGAAGAGGGGGCGGGGCAGCGTGCCCGGGAGGGGGCGAGTCTTCGCGGTCCCTGCCCGGGCTGGGGACCCAGCGCCGTCCGGTTCCGAAGGAAGCGCGGGCTGAGCCATCGGCTGCGCCCCGAGCGTGCGCCTCCCGCGCCCTCAGGGCCTGGGCCAGCGGGTCGGCACCGGCGGCACTGAGGCCGCGGGCTGGAAGGAGGCGGGCCGCGCCGCGCTTTCTCCTCCCCGCCCCTCCTCCTGGAGGCGGGCACCCGGAATTTGAGCGGCGGAGGACCCGCTCCCCCGCCCCCGCGCCCCAATTCAAGAAGCCGCTCCGCTACCCCGGCGGCACAGGGCGCCCGGCGCGCCTCGGAGCGCACGTCCCGCGCCTTCTCCGCCCGCTCGCTGGGCATTATGCGGCCGAGCGGCCGAGCCCCAGCCCCGCTCCTCCGGTTCCTCCCGCGGCCCGAGCGGCTCAGCTCTCGGCAGGCGGCAGCGTTGCTCTGCTGCGCGCAGACGGGACCCTCGCCGCGAGACCTCAGCGACTCCTGAAGTCAGAAGTCGTTGGCCGGCGCTGGCCCCGCGCTCTCCGCGGCAGACGCCTCGATCCCCGCGCAGCCAGGGCGGAAGGGAGCGGAGCGGGGTGGGAGGTGGGAGCACCATGCAGCTTGTGTCCTGGGCCGCGCTGCTAATGCTCCTGGCGCGGGACTTGGCTGAGACGCGGAGCCCTGACGCCGCGGCCGCCGTGCGCAAGGACAGGCTGCACCCGAGGCAAGGTAACGAGGCGCGGGCCCGGGACCCCTCGCCCCTCCCGAGCTCCCCCCGGCGGGGCGCCCCGCAGCCCGGGCTTTCCTTTTCCTAGAAAGAACTGCCTCGCGCTTTGGAGCCGCTCTCCTTTGGGCCATTTCCAGCCGAGGCTAGGGAAATGCTGGGGACAAAAGTAGCCATCCTTCCTTTATTCGGCCTAACCCACCCCACGCCCCAAGTCAGAGTTTCTTAGTAGCTGGGACCTCCAGCTACGTCGTGCTTTATTTCATTCAGGATATTTGTCGGGATCAGGAATTACTCTTTGCCTCCCGATTTGCTCACTGTCGCCTTCAGACTTGAGCGTCTGCCAGTTTCTGACTTGGTGTCCCACAGTCGGTGTTCCGCAAATATTTGACCACCGATAACGGGTTAAAGGGCTGGACTCCAGCGGGCTGGAGAGTAAGGCCGGGCAAAGCCCCAACGTTGGCTTAAGTTAAAAGTTGTGCGAGCGGGAATCACTGGTAGTCTCATGCATCTGTTCATCTTTCTGCAGCGAAATTACTGGAGACCGTGAGCGAGTATGAAATCGCGTCTCCCGTGCGAGTGAACGCGGCCGGAGAACCTTTTCCCACAAACGTGCACTTCAAAAGAAGGCGACGGAGCATTGACTCTGCCTCTGACCCCTGGCCCGCCTCCTCCTCCTCCTCCTCCTCCTCCTCCTCCGCCTCCTCCCCGGAGCATTACCGCCTCTCTGCCTTTGGCCAACACTTTCTATTTAATCTCACCGCCCATGCCGGATTTATCGCTCCACTGTTCACTGTCACTCTGCTCGGGGTGCCCGAGGTGAACCACACTAAATTTTATTCCGAGGAGGAAACTGAACTCAAGCACTGTTTCTACAAAGGCCACGTCAATACCAAGACGGAGCACACGGCCGTCATCAGCCTCTGCTCGGGCATGGTAAGTGGGCGCGAGACCCCGCGGTCCCGGCCGCCGGCTGCGTGGAGATGCGGTGGCTCTCTAGCCTGGAGATTTTCAGCCCTGAGGCTCCGCTCCGGCATAACTGTTGCTTAGAAACAACAGTGTAGGTCTCTGGATGGGAGGGAGCGACTCTGGGGCGCTCACACTCGCGAGGGGCGAGCAAGCCGCTCCAGCAGCGCCGGAGGCTTTGGAGCGTTCAGGCGGCCGGAATCGCGCGGCCGGGCGTAGCTCAGCGGTATCCGGCGGCCGGGACGTCAGCCTCCAAAGGGGAAAAGTTGCGGCAGCTGTGCTTTCGCGCAGCGGTCTTGGCGGGCTGCTCCGCAGCGCAGCGGCAGAGCGCAGGGCGGGCCCGACCTCCCTGCGCCCCCGAGTTGGGGATGTGGCGTGACAACCCCGGCCTGGGGCATCGGGAGTCGTGCCCGCCGGGTCGTGGAGGCCAGCGCGGCAGAATCCCGACGCTTCGCGGTCTTTAGGGCCTTTTATCCCGCGGCGCCAAGGCTCGGGAACTGAGCTGGATTGGCAGGGAGGCCGTCCTGTCCTGGGACAGAAGGGTGGGCCCAGGGCTCCGGGGCGGGGCCAGGGCGGAGCCGGCCTCCGACCCTGCGACCCTGGGGGTGGGGAGCGCCGAGTGGGGGTGCGGCGTAGTCCGACTCTGCACCCTGGCGGCAGGGTGGCCTGAAACGCTGGAGAGTGGCAGAGAGCTCGCAGAAACTGCCAGGATGCGACCTCGGTTTTTCAGGGACGGGCGCGGGTCCCGAAGGTTGGAAGAGGGAGTCCACCAAGCACATTTCCTTAGGGACAGTGGGAGGGACCGCTACCTCCGGGTGGCCAGATGCGCACTTAGCTGGGGGGGGGGAGATACGCCAGAGGGTCCCCAGCCCCCGTTTACCGGCCCCCCACTTGCCCGCCGCTAGTCCTAACAGGACGCCCTCGCTTCCCACAGCATTCGAGGACCCGGCGTGGGGTTCTGGCCCCCCGAGGGTGATCCTTGACTTTTCCGGGAGACGCGCCTTTCTGGCACGCGCGTGTGACGCAGAAACTTTCGCAGCCGGGCTGTCCCAGCTCTCTGTGCTGTGCGCGCAACTGGTTGCTGAATTCCGCGCCCAAAACGTGTTTAAGCTTCCCCTGAGCCCCCAGCTACCCCGTGCCTTCTCTAAGTGGGCGTCTGGGTACTCACCCCGGCCCCTTGGCTGTTCCCATGGTGCGCTGTGGATCTTGGATCTTGGGCTCCACGTTCCGAGGTTGCACCCTTCTTCACCTCACTAGGCAAGCCTGAAGCCCGTGCAGGGGGCGGCCTGGCCAGCCAGGTGGGCAAAGGGGATGGGCCCCCGCAGCCGGAGCAGAAGCCGCCTCGGAGCCTACGAAGTTGCCGAGGTTGGGGGTAGGCGGAGACGTCTGTTTGGCAAGGGGGAGGGGATGCCGCCGTGAGTCATGCTGGTCCCAGACCAGGGTCCAGAACGCTGGAAGCCTTTTGGCTGTAAAGGTTAAGGCCTAGGCAGGCAGGTACAAGGTGTGGACTCTTGAGAACCAGCGAGCCCGCATTTCGGCAGTGTCCCCTCCAATTCCGGCAGGCACCACATGATAGGGCTGCGTGTGTGCCTCGGTTTGTAAACAGTCTTTACTCCTCCTCTCTGCCCGCCTCCATGCACAGAGGCCCAGTGGCCCCAGCGCTTGTATAAATACTGCGCTGCTCAGGGCCTCTGTTTCCACAGTAGTTGTAGGTGGCAGCACACATTTGGTCTCTCTGGGAATCGACCCGGCTTTAGGAGAGACAGTGTGAGCTGTGATGCCTCATTTATGTACAGTGTTCCATTTGCAATCAAGGAATAGGGGCCTGCGTACATCTGTAAGTTGAGCTGGCTTTTTGTATGTTCGGCCTTAATGTGGCTTCCAAACCTCTGGCCCTTTCTTTCTCCTGGGACTTTTCTTTCCTTCCCAAACTTCTTGTTCCTGAAGCCATTGCACCTTAGTATTTCTAACACTTTGCCCCATGACGCCTGCGGGAAATCTTTCCTGCCTTATAACCCGCCCCCCAGCCGGCTGAGTTTCTCTGAATTGTGGGGAGGTGCTGCTCGCCTCTTCTGGACACCCCTGCTCGGCCTGGCCTGCGTCTCTTTCTGTCTTCAGGGGGCTTCTGCAGCCGCTGCTCACACTGCAGTGAGGGGCTAGCCAGGAGCAGGCAGGTGTCTAGCTCCCCCCTCCAGGCTCCCCCTTATCCCCTGAGCAGCTGTAGACCCTCGTTTGGCAGCAGTATTCACCTTACACTCAAAGCACGAGTCCTGGCTCCTCTCCGTGCTCCCTGCGAAATCCGTGTTTGGGCAGCCTGCTGTGTACCCTTTTCTCTGCATGCCCTCACCCAGCTTCACATGGTCTAGACACAGCTTCTTTTATTTTTGGTACTGGAAATTGAACACAGGACCTCGCACTTGCCACACAGGTGCGTACACCGCTGAGCTCTCTCCTCGGCCCCAGCGGCCACTGCTGCTGCTGCTGCTCCTTCTTCTTCTCTGTCTTTGTCTTCCTCTTCTTCTCCCTTTTCCTCTTCCTTCTCTTCCTCTTCTTCTTCATGGATTTGGTATAGGGTCTCTACGCAGCTCAGACTCCTAGCGATCCTCCTGATTTCAGCCTCCCCAGTGCTGGGATTGCAGGTGTACCCCACCATGCTCTGTCTTGGTGGTAAGCTCTGTGTGCCTGGTTGGTGCCGGCATGGCATGTGGTACTGGGAATCTGACCCAGGTCCTTGTGCTTAACTCAGCCGCCCCTTAGACCACTGAAGCGATCTCCATGGACCCAGCTTCTTTTAAAGAAGCTGTGGTTGCGTCTCCTCTTCCCTAGCACCAGTTTCTGTAGGACTCTGACTGCCGTCACCTCTCCTGTCTACCCTGGTGGATACCAGCTGTGTCTTGGGTGCCTCTGTGTCTACCTCCTTGAGTGTGAGCTCTCAGCTCATTTTGCCCAGCTTTCCCAGGACAGCCAGGACAGCACCTGTGTTCATGTCTCTCCTGTGTTGGATCCATGAGTACTGTCCATCCTTAGTACATATGTTGAGCTCAACCATCACCTTAACCGAAAAAAGTAACTCCTGGGCCCAGGGACTGTTTGTTTTTGAGGCTACACTGGTGCAGTTTTTGGAGCACTCTGCTAACCTTGTGGTGAGCACTTCACATAGACATTATTTCAGCCAAATCCTGGCTGGCACCCAGTTCTCAAAGCCTTCCATTTTACTGCAATGATGCTGAGGCTCTGAGCACTTGCAGCTCTTGGGGGCAGAGTTGGATTCCACCTGTCTTTCTGCCCTACACTCCACCCGCTGGCCAGAGCTGGGTCTGTCCTCCTACAGAGAACTTGTTTGCTTATCTCCATTTACCAGTTAGAGGTGGCTGGGCTTCACTGACACAGTCCAGGAACCTGCTCGGTGTTTGGGTGTCTTGGAGGCTTCATGGGTCTACCCTGGTCTGTGCGTGGAGGCCCCATAGCTGTGTGGTGCCCACAGACAGAGGCGCCTGGCTGGCTGGGGGCAGGGCAGAGGGGTGTCCCGGGAATAGTTTCTCCCCAGGTCAGCAGCTACTTTGTTTCTTGCTTGGACCTTTTTGGTTTTTTTTTTTTTTTTTTTTTTTTTTGCTTTTTCTTAAACTAGTGCTTCCTCAATCACATGGAGATCTACTTTTAAAACCCAGGTTCTAGACCTCGCCTCTATGAATTCTGAATCTATAAATCTCTTTGTAAAACTCCCCAGGCACTTTGGATGCTGCCTCAACATAGGAACTAGTGTCTCAGCTTGGTGTTTCGCCAACTTCACCAAGAAGACCTGGAGTTCATTAGAATGATGACCCCCGGGCTCTAGCCAGGAGGCCAGCTATGGGTAGCACACAGTGACTTGATGTCCTCACCAGCAGGCGTGCTGGCCTTCAGGGCCAGTCATTTTCCGTGTGCCCAGGGAAGGGTAGGAGGTCTGATTGCTTCCCAGTGTGTGAAACAGGAGCGTGGAGGAGGAGATGAGAGCTGAACCACTGACTGGCCCAGCATGACGCTTCTTGGTGTGTTCCTTATACTTGGTTTGGGTGGCTCAAGCCTGAGGCATCACTGATATTTATAAGTCAGTATATTGGGAGGGAAGGACAGGAGAAAAAGTGCCCTTTTTCAAGTGCTTAGCCTGATGGATAAAGCAAGCCGGATCTTAGAGTTAGAGGCCAATGCCAGCAACACCGATGCTGCTAAAGGGGGAGTCCCTGCGAGGTGTCGGGCTCTTCACTGAACACGCTATTTGGGATAACACATTTAATCTGCATGATTGGCTTTTGCAGAAAGCATCTTTATCTCTGTTGACAAAAGGGGTGAGTGGGAAGGTAAGTGTGGTGCTGGGATCAGAAGCGAGATTCCTCCAACCCTGGGCCCCGAGCACCATCCCCCTGGGTGTGCACCACCTGTCCTGGGTGTGCAAGGCTCGCAAGGGTGCTGCCAGTGCACGCTGCTGAACTTGGGTGCACGAGGAGTCTCAGGCAGCCAGTTCTTCCTCTTGAACTCAGGCATGTTCCTGTCTTTCCAGGCAGCATTAATACTTAGAAATGCTCTCCTAGCAGCCCATCGGCATGCTATGATCGGAGCTTGAATGTCGAGGAGGACAGCCTGGAGCAGCAGGCCCAATAAGCTGGGGTGAAATCAACCACGTCTCTGCATATGTCACAGCATTTTACATTGAAGCTGCCCCCTGGGGCGGAGGGGTTGAATAAGATGGCCCTGTCTCTAATTGGGATTGGGCCATTGTTTTTCCCTCCCACTGGCTGGCTTGCATTAAACCAACTTGTCTCTTTATTTGCAGCTGGGCACATTCCGGTCCCATGATGGAGATTACTTTATTGAACCACTGTTGTCTGTGGATCAAGGAGAGAATGAAGAAGAGCAGAACAAGCCCCACATTATTTATAGGCGCAGCATCCCCCAGAAGGAGCCCTCCTCGGGAAAGCACACCTGTGACACCTCAGGTATTTACTTCTTGGTTAAGCAGCGCTCCTGGCTGGTGGAGGAGCTGTTCGCCATCCTGTGGGAAGGTAGCGCTTTTGCAGTCGGCAGAGCACTACCCTGTCCTCCAGCACAGATGTGGAAACTGTAGGGTGTTCCGTGCTTGGTTGAGGGCTGTGCAGCTCAGAATTTACAGTGCCAGGGTGTGGGCGCAGACAGCAGGGGCTCCAGCTCCCCGGGACACGGCTGTCTTCTGCTAGGGCTGCTGTTTCGAGGCTGAGCTCTGGTAATTTCCTGCAGCTTTGCTATTCCTAAGCAGAAATTGCTCGTACTTTGTCTTCTACTCATATGTTCGAAGTCTTGCAAATGGAACTCGTGAGGACTGACATGCTTGTGAGAACTTCTTCCATCAATTTCAATATGGCTAATGTCCCCTGGTTTCCAGACACAGAAATGGTGCTGTGGGCTGCTGTTGCTTCGGTGCCCACTGCTGGATTCCCTTCCCTTCCTCCAAGATGGCCTCTGGCTTTGCGCAGCCACGCTAGGGAGGCGTCGTGGTGGGCGCTCGAGCAGCTTGTTCTTGTCTCTGCATTTCTCAGCCCGTGGCTGCCTTCCACGTCTGGTCGATTTTGGCCTAGTGACTAGAAATGGTCCCTCCTTTGGACCCGTGTTTCAATGTGTTCATGAAAGTGATTCTCAAAATGTGGACTTCCAATCTCTAGAACCCTGTCTTTCTTATGTTCTTTATTTTTAAAAAAATTCCATCGACAAATTAAATAATTTCTTGGGGTCGATATGGAATCTCCAAATCAGACCCAAATTCAAGGCCAACAGAGACTTCTTCCCAGGCTTTGCAAATGGCCGCTGGCTTTCCGTGTGTCTATATCCACTTGTTCTGCTGCGACAGCACCTGGTGCTTCTCTCTTGGAAGTGTTTCTAAAGCGAGTCTTTAATAAGCGACAGCATTAGCTGCTTTTATAGGGACACAGCCAGGCCTAAGGGTTAGCCTCCCGTGACTTTTGCTCCCATGTGGTCTCACCTCCAGGGCTGGCAGGATGGAACTGCAGTCGTGGCAGCTGGGCTCTAAGGTGCCAAGAGCTGGAAAGGCTCTGTACCCAGACACGAGGGCTCTCGTGCTCTTGTGGCACTCGCGTCATGGGTGTGGCCTTCTCTTAGGACCACTGACCTTTGCTTTTTGACCTCCCAAATCTGTTCTAGCAAGTGCATATTTTAGCTATAAGAATGTGTAATGGGAGCTAGAAAGGCAGTCGGCACTTCTTCCCTTTCTATATAATTACTGTATAGTCACAGCACTCTGAAGCACTGTCAGCCTGATAGTCAGTGAGGAGTAGAAGTTGGTGGCATTCTTCTGCCTCAAAAGGGCTGCAAAATGTTTTTCTTAAAAACTATGATATATTTTCTCATTCCCTGTTGGCATTGCGCAAAGTGTGTTGCCTGCTGGGTTTCACTCCATCTGTGCCACCTGCTTCTAGGACCCGTCCCGTTCCTGCCTCCTGGATGCTGACCCGGAGGCAGTGGGGACAGAGGCCTACCGGCAGCCCTGCAGGCGTCCCCAGGAGCCTGGCCTGTGCCAGCCCCCTTGCGGCAGGGCGTGTCCCGACGCTAGCCTTCGCCAAATGCTCGGACTCGGCGTTAAATGCATCCCCAACTTAGTAGATGCTCAGTTCTGGGCTGAGGACAAGTCCTTGTCACATCCTATTAAAAACATCAGGAAGAGTGTTTTGTTAAGCTGAAAGCCCAAGGACGGTGGAGGATGCCTTCTTCTCTCGCAGGCTCTCGAGCGAGGCGCCACGTTTTGCCAGCTCCTGAGCCTCGCGGTGCCCTTCCCCACTTGCGGGTCAGTCAGGAGCAGGGCAGTCGTACCAGCCCTCCCAAAGGCTCCTTCCAGGCTCTGCTTCACTTGGTTTTCTCTCTTTCGGCTCTCCTGCACCCCTTCTTTGAATTCAAGTGCAGTAGGTTCAGAAAAGTTGTAAAGAGCTTGGAGGTATGTCACAGCTCACCAGCAGCAGAGCCCTGCCAGCCCAGGCAGCCTGTGCATAGGCCGGGGATATAGATGGTACAGGGGCCGTCCCTCTTGCTGGGGAAGGGGCTTCATGGTGGCCCAATTTCCTGCTGAAGCAAGAGCCGTACAGCTCGGCAGAGCCTGGGAGCCCCGTGCCGTGCAGGTTCTCAGAAAGCAAGTTGATCTCTGCAGCAGGGACGTGAGATGGAGCCTGAAGCAGTGGTTTCCATGTGTCCCAAGTGACAGGTGGTCAAGCAGCTGAGAGTCCCTGCTGCAGTGGAAGGCAGCAGTCACCCCCACTGCCTGCCTGGTGTCCTCTGGACTCGACTTCCGGCGGCGGCGCCTCCTGGGCCTTTTCTCCCAGAGCAGGCTGCTCGGGCTGGAGGAAGCCTTCAGGGCAAGGTCTCCTGCAGAAGGGAGTTCTGCACAGAGGAGAAACAAAGTTGCAGGGTGTCAAGTTAGATATCTGTCCAGGGCAATACCCTGTATATCTGACCACCACTGCCCGGCAGAGCTTTCCCACAGCCGCAGATGTGGGAGCCAGCCTCACAAACTCCTGCTGACTGCTGCGAATGGTTCTGCACTGTGGGAAGCAGCAGGGCAGGGCACCCGGCTGTCGCAGGCTGCTCCCTGCAGAAGGACATCTTGCTTATTGCTGACTCTGGGTGTATAGTTTTCAGATCAAGCTTCTAAGATAGCCTATTTTAAAGACATCTGTGGAAGTCTAGTGTAATAGAAGCTTGTAGGTTCAGAAAGGCGCCTATGACCTTGTGCATTCATTCATGCGTGTGTTTTTAATTCCACCACAGTGTTAATTGAACAACTCCTTTGCACCAGGAGGACAATCAGGAACTGTCCCCATTCCAGCTAGCTGGGCAATCCATGCCAAAGGCATTGTAGAATGCAAAGTAAACATAACAGGGACCTTCTGCTTGAACTAATTGAGTATAAAATAATGCAGGCTTCAGGGGCAGCATTTAACAGATGGCAGGCAGTTACTGAATGGCGATTTTTTTAAAGTAAATTAATGAAAGTAGAAAACAAAGTCCTACAGTGAAGGAAGGAAAACTTCAGACTCCAAACCCAGAGGTGATCCCTTAGAGCTTTCACTAATGGGACCAGAAAGACCTACGGTGCCTGCTCCAGGTGGTGGTGGCAGCTAGCAGCAGGCGTGTGCTTGCTGCCCCGCCTTCCTCTGTGCCCAGGGCGCCTGGTTAACACTGGGGACTTGGGAAGTGGCTCGCGGCTGTCCCCCGGGACTGTCTTGGCTTGGCCACCATTGGACCCTGCTTGGGAGTTCTCTGGCAGTGGGCTCCCCTCCTGCAGTGTGGCTTGGTGACTACTGAGTCCCTTCGTGGCAGCCCCTCAGGCACGCATGCTGAGCTTCTGGCCCAGGGCAGCCCCACTCAGGTGGCCCAGGCAGCAAGTGGGCACGCCAGGCTGGAAGGCACTGCTGCCATCCACGCACACCGCCGGTTTGTAGATGAAGTCTTGGTTGTGCCTCCATTTGACCTGGACACTCACAGGCAGAGAAGGTGGTTCTTATCGAGGAGAAAGACAGCCTTCCTGCTAGGGGTCTGTGCATGCGTGTGTGTGTGAGAGAGAGAGAGAGAGATAAGCCCATCATTTAAAATGGTACAGTGTATCCAAACATAATGGAAACAAGGCATAAAAATATCAACGTGCCTATTGCAGACTGCCAGGAACACTGGCATTCTCCCAAAAGTTTTGTGCTCTTGTGTGCTTATACACTTTCTGTGATCCCAGAATTTCCTGACTGCAAACACAGCTTGAACACGAGGATAGGGGCTCGTGGGGGCTTCATAGCCTGTGGCACTTGTCGCTGGAGACCAGCTCCTGACCGATGCTGTCTGAGGACTAGAGGTCAGCGGCTTTCCATTTTAAAAGTTTCTCAGGTCCGGCCAAATAGCTCAGTAGATTAAAGCGCCTGCAAGCAGGCATAGGGGCCCGGGGTTCCATCTCCAGGCCTGCCGTGCCGGCCCCGCCCCTGGGGTGCACTGAGACAGCAATTGAGACTGGGCGTGGTGGTGCGCGCCTGTAACCCCAGCTCTTGGGAGGTTGTAAACAGGCGGATCACTACAAATCTGATCTAGTGGTGAGACCCTGAACACCCTGTATATCTTTCCCTAAAATACAGGAAAAAACAATAATAATAATTAAAAGTTTCTGAGCCAGAGGGGTAACTGTGGGTGCAGCTTGTGAAGCCCAAGGCTGGGCAGAGCTGGGCCTCTTCCTCAGTTCAGCTACATTTCTTCCCACCTGACCAAGCTGAGAAGGTTTGTGGCTCCGTCCTCACCAGGTCCCGGGGATCTGTCTGCCACCCCTGCTAGAATGCACCCCGACTTCCTGACTGGGCTCTCGGGACCACTAGCATGAAAGCCAGGGAGACAGAGGTGAGGCTCAGAGCCATTGCTCCACGGACCATTGCTCTGTGGACCATTGCGTGATTGTCACGGCCGTGCTACACCCCACATGCACTGCGTCGTGCAGTGCGGCCGTCAGCTCTGCCAGACATGGACCAGTGTTCTGTCCTACAATTGGGGAACATTACAGCTCAGAGAGGCTGAGCAATTTGTCTAAAGTCACAGAGCTGATAAAATGGGTATAAACTGGTATCCAGTGCTCACAGGGCCTGCTGACAGCTCACACTTGCTGAGTGTGCGGGGCTTAAAGCTGCCCTGATCCATTGCCAGGTGGAAAAACAGACTGTCCACGAAGTGACTCCCTGAGTCCCACTGTGTCCTGGTCTGGTTGGAGGGACTGTTGGCCTGTGCTTGGTGCATTGGACCGCTTTTGTAAGAGGTGCTTTGCAGGCGCAGTCACAGCACCTGCCCGGGCCTGCCCTGGCCTAGGAGGGTTTCCCACCCTGAGGCTGGCAGTGCCAGCAGGCCTCGGTAGAGCATCTCCTCATTAGCCATTAACCTCATGAATCCCATTAATAATTGAGCCCAGGTTAGTGAATTAGGCCAGTGGCCCTGG